ACAATCCTAATAAATAAAAATGTTGAATTAAGTTTGTTAGAACCCTTGAAATGCATCATAATTCCTTCATCTTTTGTTGTTTCAATTTCACAAAAAGTGATATAATATCTTTGTCTTCAAATTTTCATGATTACTTTTAGAGGAAGCAAAAGCTGGCACAAAATAATAGCTTTTCCATCTATTGAAACAGTTGGAGAAGATCTTGTCCATTTGGGGTTATATTCCCTTCCATATGGGAAGTGGAGAGAGGTAAAGAATAGATTAAAAATGATTGTGAATTCTAAGAAAAAGCCTGAAGTGTAGCTTTTCACTCATCAACGCAACTAGGTTTAAGGAAAAGTACTGATTATTCTTGAAAAATAAAACCGTGTCTGTAAATCTGCAGTAATCGATCCAGGAATTATGGATATAATAAGCACTGATTAAAAGTAAACTTCGTTGTAAAAGATATTTTATCACAATTAGCTTTCACATAGGAGGGTAATGCAGAATATTAATTGAATATTTTTTTAATTATGTATATACATAAGTTAATAAATCGTAGGGTGCAAAGTATATCAAGGTCACCGATACACGTGCACTTTACATTTCGAATTCAGTTCTACACAACCGATTTCAAAGTAATAATGATTTGTGAGGCATCTTCCCAACTAGGCAAATATATGTTAGTCTAAAAAAATGTATTTTATAAGACAAAAGGACATGAATAAGTGGTACAAAAATATAGGAATCAATCTGTGAATTTTCCGCTTTTGACCCCTTGAGCTTATTTGTCATCTGCTTGAAAGAGGTTGTTGCAAGAAACGAAGATGGCTTTTGTGTGGCGAGTCGAGGAAATAAACGGATAGCTGGTGTAATCCGAAACTTGACAACTCTTTAGTGGCTTACGAATATAAAATTTTGATTTTCCAGGGATGTAATAGAAATGTGTTGTAAACTTTGATCATAGTGACGCACATAGATAATTTCGCCAAGAAAAATAGCGAAAAAAATTGAGTGCATAATTTAGTCGTTTCGGACCTTCGAACCAATCAAGGCGTATTATTATATGAGGCGAATGGCTTTGGGGCCGGAGAGGAAAAAAAGAGGGATGAAATTGTTTACCTGTAGGGATCTGATAGGTACCATCCTTCTGACGCTCGACGTTGTAGTGATGCACACGGCCCGCATGGCAGATGGAGACTGCATAGTTGTCGGCTACACTTTCGCGAAGCAGAAATGAGCCCTCAGTTGCTCCATGAGCCAAGAGAAGTTCCTCTGCCTGGTCACGAGTGATGTGTCCGTGGAAGTAGGCTACCCGTTCTGGAGTGATCGGCCCAGTTGCGGAGGCTGTAGACACTGTATGGCCTGCAAGCGGTTTGTTCGAATCCGATTCGCCTGACTGCTTATCTGCAATGCTGGTGAATTCGAAGGTCGAAATCGCCTCGTTGCAGTGGCCATCGGATGGATGATGGTTTAGCGAACTGAGGACAGTCGGCAAGTCTGCAGTCACGCCTGAAGGCCGACCAAGTAAGCCGAGAGTTGACGAGGTGCTCATTCTATTTTGACCGATAGCAGCAAAAGGAGAAGGAATACTATACTATATTGTGTCGCACATTATATTATATTATATTATATAGTGTAATATAATATATTAAATTATAATACGGTACAGTTTAGTATATTGTGAAGAAAATCTGTATTTCGAAGAGTCTCTGAAAGCCTAATAGCATTACAACAAATGAGAATACTTTAAGAATTCCTGTTAAGCGGACTAATTCGGGCTTTAAGAGTAGTTTTTGCCCCGTTTGGTTTAGTCTATCGCGCTAAAGAAGGAAAGGACGAGCTCATAAGCATGAATTAATCGCAAGGCATTTTTTATCATTTCAGATACAGCCTCCAAGTGGGATTTACAGGTGCACACTCTAAACTCC